GCCCTGCGCCTGACCGTGGCTCTGTTGCAGACGTGGACGAGTGCGGGATGGGGGCGCCGTGCGCCCAGCGCTGCCTCAACACCTACGGCACCTTCATCTGCCGCCCCATCCCGCCTGGCCCCTGGGTTCTTAATCCTTCCTTCTCTGGCCCCACCCACTCAGGCCCCTCCCTCCCTGGGTCTGACCACGCCCCTAGTTTAGCCCATTCTTAGTTTTTAGCCCCTTCTTCTTTTAGCTCCTCCCATTTAAGTGTGGCCATCTCTTAGCTCCTCCCCTCTTTCTGGCCACCCCTCTTACACCTATGCTCTCCTTCTCTGGCCCCTGGGCCTGTGCCTGGCAGAGGAGGGGTCTCCCCAGGGAAGGTGGGGGGATCTAGTCTATCTGTCCATGTGTCTGATTGCCCGGTGGGCTGACCCCCCCCCCCCCGCCCCGCAGACATTGACGAGTGCAGCTACTCAAGCTACCTCTGCCAGTTCCGCTGCGTGAACGAGCCGGGGAAGTTCTCCTGCACCTGCCCCCAGGGCTACCAGCTGCTGGGCACCCGCCTCTGCCAAGGTACCTGCTCCCCACTGCCACCTGGGGGAGGGGGTCTGGATTAGTGCCTGGCGCTCCCCGCACCCAGCCTCGGCAGGTGGTCTGACCCCCTCCCTCGTTACCTGCAGACGTTAATGAGTGCGAGACAGGCACTCATGAATGCACAGAGTCTCAGACCTGCTTTAACTTCCACGGGGGCTGGCGCTGCCTGGAGAAGAACCGCTGCGTGGAGCCCTACGTCCAGGTCTCCGACAAGTGAGTGGGGCCAGGGTAGGGCCCTGGGAGGTTCTCCCTCCCCCATCAAGGAAACAACCGAACTCTCCAGGAGTGAACCCCCAGTTTGGGGAGGGGCCCCCCCTGCCACATAACCCGCAGCTGGGAGGGATCCTAGGCATTAGTGTCCAGCCCCCAGGCCTGGGAGGGAATGCAGGGGGTCCAGGAGAGCCCCCAGGATGGGGGGGGAGGACCCCACGAGCCCGTAGCTGACCCCTGCCCCTGCTGCGCCGCAGCCGCTGCGTGTGCCCAGCCTCAAGCCCGCGGTGCCGGGAGCAGCCATCGTCCATTGTGTTCCGCACCATGGCGCTGGCAGCCGAGCGCCCTGTCCCCGCCGACGTCTTCCAGATCCAGGCCACCAGCGTCTACCCTGGCGCCTACAACAGCTTCCACATCCGCGCCGGCAATGACCAGGGCGACTTCTACATCCGGGTGAGCCGCCAAAGGGGCGGGGGCCGGGACACGGGCCTGTGGGAGCATAGAGGGGGCCGAGACTGCCTGATTAAGTGGGGACGCTGGCCAATGGCAAGCAGGTGGGACTTCCTGTCTTAGCAGGGAATTCCCACCAGAGGAAGGCTGAACTTCCTGCTTTAGGCAGGACGTTGGCTAATGGGGAGCCAGCTAGGCAGGTCTTGCTGTTTCAGCACAAAACTGCCCCTGTAGGAAGGTGGGACTTCCTCAGTTAGCCAGGAAGGAAGCATGGCTTGCAGGTGGGAGTTCCTGGATCGGCCAGGGAGTTGGCCAGTGGGAAGGTAGAAGGGGTTATTGCAGAGCTGCCTCTGGCTCCATCCCACTCGGGTGACGTGTAGGTGGTGCATGCAGGCCCACGTGCACCCGCTACAAAAAGGCGCCACCAACACCGTCAGCACCTGCGGGTGCTCGTCACTGGTTGTCCTGCCACCAACACCACAGGTGGAGTCTGCGGGCGGTCAGCAATCGCTGCTGGCCATTGCTGATGCTGTTGGCGGCGCCTGCGGGTGCTTGCCAACCTCTGGTCGGTGCTGGCCATCCCACCCCCCTGCTGCTGGTGCCATCTGCGGGAGCTCCCTGCTTACTGCTTCTATGCTTCTGCCACCACTGTGCCCCCACACCCGCCCAGGGCACGTGTCGTTCACGATCCCACTCCCCACCCTGGCCCCAGCCCTGTGCACTGCCTTGGCTGGGTAGCACCCCCAGCCCCTGCCCCTTTCCCTCGAGGCCTCGAACCCGCCCCCCCCATGCCCTCTTCCCCCTGTAGGCCTACCTGCAGGGAGCTGCTCTCCATGCTGCCCCGCTATATTCCCGGCCATGTGCAGGTGTACATGTGCTCATGGTGCTCACGTGTCCCACTCGGGGAGCCCCTTGCTGGCTGGAGCGCTGCCCTTGCAAGGGTAACCTGCCGCTTCCCAAACCAGGAGCCGTGCAGGATACTGTGAATCCCGGACAAATGCTGTCCCGGAGTCATGCAGCCCGGGACCTGTTTTGGGACTGTCCTGCCTAATAAGGGGTGGGTGATCACCCTACCTGGGTCCTCAACAGGATCCTGACTCCACCTCCTCCCTCCCTCCGCCACAGCAAATCACCAATGTGAGCGCCATGCTGGTGCTGGCCCGGCCCCTGACGGGCCCCCGCGAGCTCGTCTTGGATCTGGAGATGGTGACAACCAACGCGCTGCTGAGCTACCGCGCCCGCGCCCTGCTGCGCCTCACCGTGCTCGTGGGCGCCCACCCCTTCTAGCCCCCCGGGGTGAGAGCTGTGCAGACACTGGAAGTGGGGAAATGTGGGGTATGGGGACAGGAAGTAGGGGTGGCTGATGGGAAAGGGGTAAATACCAAGAGGAGAGGAGCAGATATTGGGGCTGGGTGGCTGAGAACAGGTAGGGGTGGAGACTGTGGTGGGAGGGGGCAGGAATGGGCAGGAGGACAGAAACTGAGGTGGGGGTAAAAGGGGCAGTAATGGGCTGGAAGTGAGGGGCATGAGCAGGATTGGGGGGGCATGGGCTGCTGGTCAGGAGTATGGGGCACGGGTTGGGATTGAGGGGCCCTGGGGCCAGATCCCACCCCCATCTCTCCCCACAGGTGGCGCTGACCCAGACCTGACCCCCTTGGCCTGGAAGATGACAAGGGGGGGCATTGGGGGGGCACTGGGGGGAGAGACCCGCGTAGGAAGAAATGATGGCGCTAAGCTGAGTCCAGTCTCGTCCATTCTCAGGGGTGGGAACCCAGGTGTCCGGGCCCCCATGCCCAGCCCTCCTCTGCTGTGCTCCCCACCAAAGATGGGAGCAGAAACCCAGGTCTCTGGGCCCGAACACTCCGGCGTGGTAGAAAAAGGTCTTTATTGGTACAAAAGATGCATTAAAATTTGCAGAGCGACACAGGTGGGGTGGGGGGCAGGGCCAGATCAAGGGAGGGGCCCTGGGGTGCAGTAGAGCTGGCTCAGGGTGCGGCTCAGCGCGGGACCCAGGTTCCTGGGGGAGGAAGAAGAGGGGAGGTCAGAGGGGAAACTGAGGCACAGAACAGCCAGTGCTGCCCCCCTTGCCCCACCTGAGCCAGAGGAAACCCAGGCATCCAGGCTCCCAGTGGCCCCCAGCTCCCACTGCCCTCCTAGAATTGGAGAACCCAGGGGCTGGGCTCATACTGGGGGAGAAGGGATGGGGGGAGTGGGCAGAGGGCTGCAGGTTGAGAGTCAGGGGCAAAGTGTGTGTGTGTGTGTGTGTGTGGGGGGGGGTCGGGTCTCACCTCTTCAGCTTCCCACACTTGATGCCACTCAGCAGCTGCTCACGGCTTCGGGTGTCAGGGCAGGTGGCGTAGGCCTCACGGAGGCTGCAGAGAGATGGGGGGGTGGAACCCAGGCCTCCCCGCCCCCGCTCACAGAGAACTCAGGTTCTCAGTTCCCCCTGCTCTATCCCTGCAAAAACGGGATGAACCCAGGCACCTGGGCTCCAGGCCACCCCCACCAGCCCCTACCTCCACCCCACAACTAGGGTGGGACTCAGTAATCCAAGTTCTCCCAACCCCACATCCCAGGGGGTCCCAGCGTCCAGCACCTGGTGGGGGTTGGGTAGCGCTGGAGGAGGGCGGCTGCGCGCTCCCCACTGACCCCGCTGATCTGCATCAGCTGCCGGGCGAAGACCCCCTGCACCGTCTGTGCCTGGGGGGAAAGGAGGGGGGTGAGTGGGGGAGCAGGACCCTGACCACCAAGATTGGCCCCCCAACCAGGATCAGGCTCCTCACCTGGTTCTTGGCAGCCAACTGGTTGAAGCTAGTAAAGGGCAGGAGAGCGATGGGGTCCGTGAGGGGTGGCGGCG